TTAATATTGGTAAACCTAGTCAACTCCAGCACACTTTGAGACTCCAGGAATATGCCATGTGGGCAGAATAGATTGATTAGAAAGAGGTGATATTCAGAAAAATGACATTTTCTATGCTGTGTTACCATTTCCCATCCTTTCCTGTTCTTTTCCCCTCCCAAAAATGACTACACAAAAACAGCAGAAATATTGTATTAACAGCCCTGCAACTGCAAATCAAAAAGAATCACAGAAAGATGATTACATATTTTCTAACAATGAGCAATAATCTCTCAATGAACAATAATCGTTTTCTGTAACTATCTGAGAATGAAAGTTACCTTATTGCTGTATGGAGTGAAGTTCAACTTCACAGCAAATAAACGCTAATGTAGGTCACTCAACCCAATTCGATTCAATTAAAACAGGCTTAGGCACCGTGATAAGACATTCTTGCTGCCTTTTAGTGCATCTCGGCAGGATTTACTGACATAATAACTGCTATTGTTTTCTTAAATAGCTCCCATTAACCTGCACAGGTGGACTCGCATAGCTTGGCTCCTTCAACAAAGATTGTACAATTTTATAACGCTTTAAAATGTCTCTATGCAACTCCCTCAAACTATAACACTTTCCATAAATTAATAATGAATATATTCCATGCAAACTTGGTGTATATGAGCCTATTGTGCATTAAATAAAATTAGAAACTATAAAGAGTACAGAGCTTAGGTAGGTATTTTACAAGCAGGAATTTCCAACTATTTACAGGAAATAAAGGGTGTGCTAAAAGTTGTTCCACTGCATTCTAGCAGGTTATTAATGGTTTTCCTGTATGAACTTGGCAGCCCAGCTAGAGTTCTGTGTCTTTCAGTTTGGTGTTTAGGATAAAAAAAAAGAATCTCATGTCAAGACCTGCCTTAACATCTGAGAAGAGTCTGCACACTTCACCCTCTCACTTACAGTACATCTAATACATTGGTTTGGACAATAAAGGCTGAGTATTTTATGTAACATTCATACCCAATATTCAGTCTTCAGGCTCTGATATTCTACATTTTACTTACAAGCTCTAAATGGAATCTTCAAAAGGAGACATAGCTAACAATTTAGCTTATTTTTTAAAAAATTGCATCCTTTTAAAATGCGTCAGGGTATTTGCAAGAACTTGATACTTTGCAGACATAGAGCATCTACCTATGCAAATCTATTTCAGACGTTCTCTATAAAGAGAACTTAGAGTAAACTTTGTAGAGAAGCAAGGGCTCAGTTTATAATGCTTTAAATGTGATCATTTTACACATTTATTTTTACCATTTTAAAATTGTTTTTGATTTTTTTTTATATCAAAGCTCACAAAGTAGTGGATGCGGACATCCATATCTATTGACAACTGCTTTCCTACTGTAGCTAACAACATTTGCTTGGTGAAAAGACACTCGCAAACCGCATTAAACAATAAGACAGACCTGAAATCAGTTCAGAGAAGAGCAACAAGATATAGTCCTGGGCTCAAAGGACTGAGAGGCTAAAAGAACGAAATATTTTTATTGTTAAATGGAGGCGGCAATGAGAGTATCTTATATAAATATTCAAACTCTCCAAAGGCATCAAAAAAATTAACCCAGTGGGCATAAAGGAGTATATTAATAAAGGAATAGTAGTATGGTCTAGCCAAGTAGCCACTAAACAGAACCAGATTCTTCAGCCATTTAAAAAATATACATGATCTAGGATTCTAATGGAGCAAGCTGGGGCTTAGTTAAAGCCTCTTCCTTCACTGAAGTAAACTGGACACACCTGCCTTGTCTGACTGATTGGACTCTCTCGGAATTTATTTCCACAGGCAGAATAGGGATCAGCTGATATGCCCTGTGCTGAACTGGACACTCCTCAGGAGTAGCAGCAGTCATCATAACAGCAGTTAGGTGCAGAGGGAAGGGCTGTGTTCAGGGAGGGAAAGTGTGTTAGAGGATTTCTGCAGCGAGTTTAGATAGCACAGGAGTTAAACACTCCTGTGACGATAATGACTGCTAGCTAGCCAGCAGTCCTTTGTCCAGTTCATGTTTGAGACAATGACTTTGTTAGGCATGGGATTTAGTAAAGATAGGGAGAATTAGTCTTTCTTGTGTGTACTGTATTCTGGGTTAGTTTGAATTTACTGTAATCTTTATAGTGTTATAAATTAATAGTCTTTATAGTTGAAAACTGGGGACCAGAGGGTAAGGTATTTCAGTAGGTCTTGGAAGGGTGAGCCCAATGGATTATGCTGGGGTTCTAGGGAATGAGTAATGAGTTTATATTTTGGAAGGAAGAGAGAATGTTGGAGAGAATCAGGAATGGGTCTGCTCCAGCTCTCTCGGTGGAATAGAGGACTGAAGAGCTCCTCCATGTGTGAAGAGGAGCTGAAAATGTTTTTGGGAACCAATACCTCTTTGAAGCACAGGTTTTTGGGACTATGCAGGCTTCTCTGAAAGGGCATAAAAGGCACAAATTTGGAGCCCAGAGGGGTTCTACAAGCCAACAATGACAGATCACTGATCTTTATATCAGTCACAGCATCCCTCTGTGTTACAAAAATACGCACCAGTTCTTGTGATGCAGTCTGTTATGTTTTAAGCACTCAACAAAAAAACAAATAGGACATGCTTAGTACTGTACATGCTTAACCCTAAACCCAGGGTTATCTGGGGGAAAAAAGACAGATACTGTACTATGACTGTGACCGTAATGTTGCCCTGCTTGGATTTATCTGTTATGAGACAGTTTTCTATTGTCCACATTATCTATACTGTACTTTTCCATTTAGAAATTGTGACTTGTTAAGCTTGTTTGAGCCCTTATCTACAAATTGGTCCTGGATATTTTGGACAAGGAAAATAACACTACATATCTTATACAAATTGTCTGTTTACTGGGTATTTCAAATGGCATGAAGGTTACCACATATTGTTTTTACTTATTGGGTAGTAGTACTATACTCAGCCTAATGTCTATTTATTTTTGAACAAATCAATGTTATTTCATCAGTATGTATTTCAAAATGATTGTTAAAAATGCAATAACATGAATACTCAACAACAGAAATAAGAAAAACCCTATGAAGCAAAAAATATTTCAGTTTTAAATATCCATCCATCCATTTTCCAACCACTTTATCCAGTACAGGGTTGCAGGGGAGCCAGAGCCTATCCTGGCAAGCAACAGGTGCAAGTTAGGACACACCCTGGACTGGATACATTTCATGGCGTATACAGACACAAACACGCCCACACTCACACTAGGGCCAGTATTCCCAGAAACCATTTAACCTACAAATACGTCTTTAAACTTTCCGAACATGGGGAGAGAATAAAATTCCATGAAGATAGCACATCATGCATTAAACACAGGGCCCCAGAGCTGCAAGGCAAAAATACTACCCACTGCACAACACCCCTTTTAAAATAGAATTATCACTGAAAGCTTGGTTGAAGCCTTTATTCCAAACAAGGTATTCGTTTTACATCTAAAAAAAAAAACAGGCATAAAAACAACCACGAACGTGTAAGAAGCTGAAAAGTACTGCAATCAACAAAAGGCAATTCAGGAGTTTAACGATTCAAGAAAAAATACGATACATGAATACCTAATAACAGAAAATGATAGGCAACCTCATCGTGTGATTCCTAAAATATGTAGTTTTTAAGTCTCATCTGTTTTAGATCTTTAATTAGACTAGACATGTTGTTCATGAACAGAAGTAGAACAGCTTTCTATGTACAACTGTGCTGTGGTAAACAATTTAATATATCTAAATCTCTAGAAGCTCCAAGAGCTGGTTTCTCTTTTGAATGGTTACTTCACCTCACTTATTACATGAATACATAAGATGGGTTTTCTATATTTTTTCATTTTTATCTGTAATGTTAGCTCCAAGGGTAGTAACAAACTAAAATGCATCAGGACCAATAAAGAAATAGAGGACGCAAGAGCAAACTAAGTCAGTTTCAGGACTGAAAAAGGAGGCATATGCATACTGTACATATATGGTTATGAGAGTCTGGAACAAACTGCCCAGCCATTTTATGAAAGCACATTTCCTTCAAGAAACAAGGGAACAAGATGCTTAAACTCAAGATCAATATTATGAAGCAACTAAAAGAGGAAGACAGCCTAAATGTCTCCCACCTAAGTTATTGGCAATGTTTATGTTATGTCATATAGAATGACTAGGGTTGAGAAGATGTCATTAAGCTCCCCAAGACTCAGTCCTGACCAGCACCCCTCCAGCAATAAGCAGTACAGTTTTTTTTATTACTCTAGAGACGAAGACATCTTCAAATGCTAACACATACTACAAATTCATATTGTTACCTTTCAATGTAACTTTGCTCCTGAGCAGTGTTTTTGTTGTACTTAAGTGAAGTAAGTTAGCACTAAAACTAAAACTAAAGCAACAATTTCACCAATAATCCAAGGCAGCACGTCTTTGGGAGGCAGAAGGGAAATAGAGCACCCTGTGAAGACTCCTACCAACACAGGTCGAACGTGCAAACTCCACACAGAAGGCCTGGTCCAGAATTCAAACCAAGACCCACGGTACTGGGTGCAATATTTCTTATTTCCTGCAGCATTTTTACTACACGCTGGTGATCAAGATGATGAGAAGTTGGGAAATCTTAATGAAAAAAAAATGTTTTGAATTTCATTAATTTCACAATAAGCATTATTTGCTTATTATTTAACTCCTTGTCTTTCAAGAAAATGTTGCAGGGTTACGTCAGGTGTTAATACTTAATGCGTCCCTGTAACGATTATTATCATAAATAATAACAACGAGAGCCAAATGAATACCTTAAATGTACTGTATATACAGTACAATATACTAGATGACATTGTATTAATAACTTTTTTTCTCTGTACTGCAACACTAATTATTTTTACGCCGTCGTTTCTTAATCGTAAAGACTGTTACTGAAAAGCTATCGATGTGTGTAACAAGTACAGTACCATATGAAAGCCAGGTTTTTAAGTCTTACCTCGAAAAGCTGCGGGATCTCTCGTTTTGAAAGATAATCTTTGGCATCATTTGTATTCATTTTCTCAATACTCCAGCAGGTCCCCGCCGTTGAAAACAAAGGAAATTGGCCAAACAAACTTTTTTTTTTAGAAAAAAGAGAGAACTACAATTGTGCAGTCACTTGTCAAACGCATATCCTGCGAGAAAATCTGAGCTCAGCTCCAGTCATTCATCGCTGCTACACACACAACCCCTCGCTGTGGCTGCGATGCGCGGCGTCTAACTGTCTTGTGTCTTTTCAATGGTTTAAAGTGCCTGCTCATGGAGGGGGGATGGATCTCTGCATGCTTACGATTTGTTGTCTCAGTTTGCTGCGTTGAAGGCAAGCAACCATTACCGACACTTAAATCGGTTAGGCGCCAATGTCGTTTACAGACAACTTAAAGTCTGTTCCCGTATTTTTTGGTGGGGATTGTGTGAGACAGGAAATTCGAGGTTAAGGTTTTAAACAAATACGCCCCCGAGACGCCTGTATTGTATCTTGGCAGGAAAAAAAAAGTAAAAAGTTAGGGGCATAAAAAACATGGAAGGCTTTAAAAATATCTCCTGAAACTGTCAGCAGCCTGAAAACTGCAGACTTGCGGCAGCACAGCCGTCTCTCTTCAAGATGCGGGTCTTACCTGTGCACTACCAGAAACTGCGTCCTTTAAAACAGCCAGTCTGGGAAGGAATAGATTAGCACTAAAGTCGCATCTGTACAACTAATGGGTTTCCGGTGAGATGGGTACTGGATTTTAACTGGTTATCACATTAAAAGCAGAATCAACTTTCCCTACAGCCAGACCCTGAATTTATCTTTCTCACCGATCTGAAGTTGTTTAAAGATTGGCAGACAGGAGGACTGTAGTGGAGTTGGTTTTGTTACAAACGGACAGCGGAAAAGGACTTCCTGTGTTGTCCTCTCAAGAGAACTAAGTGATACCTTTTTGCTGAATAAATGTCTCACCTAAGTGGCTGGGACCTTGTTTTGCCTTTCAGGAACCCCTTAATTACTCTGTAATTTTAGATGTTCTCAAACATTCTTAACTTCAAACAGCCTGCATAGTTTGTAGAGTAATGTGGTATTAAATGTTAGAAGGTGAGAACATAAGAAACTGGGCCATTCAACCCATTTTGTTGATTTGGTCAGATTTCTTCCAGGTGTTTCTTTCCTTATTTCTTTTCACTATATTCTAGATAAGGCCTTGCTACAGCTGTACAGCTTAAGCAGAGCTTCCCTGGATTTCAATTCTGTGCTTTTTGCTCTCCTGTATATTCAAGCTTTCTATTTGCTTTTTTTATTGTTGCACCACATTGTGTTGATGAGAACATAGAGGAATCTACATAAACATTCAGATCCCTTTCATGTGAAACATCCCCCTCAGCTCAGAAGAATCCATGTGAATGTTCCTGCTGCCAGTATGGACCACTTTGCACTTAACAGTGTTGAATGTTATTTGCCAAGTATCTTGATATTATCTCAAAGTCTTCTAATAACACCCTTGCTGATATCGATGTGTTTGCTAATCCCCCTATTTGAGTGTCATCAGCAAATTTGACTAGGTTATAAGCTCTTCTAGATTGTTGATCCAGTATAGATCAGGAAGAGCTAGGCGCCTAGTATGGATCCCTGTGGCACACCAATTCCTGTGGTCACTAAGAGGACAACTTAAGATAAGTACTGCAATCCACAAAAGGCAAAGGTTTCCTGTTCGCTAACCACTCCTCGATTTATATATCTGTGGCTAGTGCTCCTTTTCCAAGTGAGAGCTGAAGTATTCTTTATAGGATCTATGAACAACATATCTTATTTACTTATGTATTAGCTGTTCAAGCCTCTCTAGAGTCTCAGCATCAGTTATGCTAAAATGACCAAGTACTATAGGAGCTTGATCTGTGACACGGAGCCAATGTTCCCTCTAAGCTGTGTGCATGTGCGCACGCAGACAAGTTAGGAAATCAGCGCACATAGGAAATTCCAAAACATTTTGAGAAGGATAAAACAAACACGGTCCTCAATTGAAAAATGCTAAATTGACCATGAGACTGGCTGTGAGAAGCCCAACTTGGCTGTGTGCATTATTATTGCGCCTCGATCATTGATATCTATGCTCTCGTAGTCTCATACCTCACTGCTGATGCTCGCTCGACACTCAGTCTCTATGACTGGGCTCATTGAATCGCTGTCCCGGTCTTTTGGATCTCTATGCTTCTATGAGAATGACTATATTACCAAAAAATTTCAGGTTTACAATTTTACATACACTCAATTAAGTGCGCACACATTTTTGTCACTGGGGAACAAAAATTTCCCCATGAAATTTTTGCATACAAAGGCCATTAAAAATTAAAGGGAACATTGCGTGCGGCATGTTATTTATGTCTTCTACCCATGTAGAAAAAAATCCAGTTGGTCCCCACCCCCTATAGTAATTACTACACGAATATACCTGCAACAAAGTAAACTGTGGATATCATAGTGTTTATCATGGTAGGATGTAATCATTTCCTTTTCAAAGTCTGACATGCCCTAGTATTTTTATTCTGATTTATCTTACAGAGGTAACTGCAGAAAGAGAAAGTCAGAAGGCATATTGCAGCAAGTCACAGTAAACATATAGTAAACCAGACCATAGCAGTGGTAGATGAGATACAGAAGGTCCTCCCAAATGTGTAAAGTACTTTGAGAGCCTTTGGGAAGAAAAGTGCTACATAAATGCAAGTAGGAATAATGAATATGATGAAGGACAAAAATGATAACATTTGGAAAGAATAGGAGATGAATGGGAGCCAAGTGGATGGAAAAGAATAATGGATTAGTCAGAGCATCAGGGAAAAAATGAAGGCTGTATAATCCAAAGCCAGTAACAATTTTTTGTTCGGTTTAAAATATCTTTGAATGGGATCGTGAGTGACATTAATCTTGTGATCTTATATGATCTATTATTTTTAGTAGGAGTCTTGCTGACTTGCTCTGAACTACCTTTTCTGTGTAAATTTACAATTTGCCCTTTAACTGAAAAACATGAGGAATTTTCTCTATCATTTTTTACTTCGGATTCAGCTTTTTAAGTGAGAATTTATTTGCCTTATTTTATTTAGGCAAATACATTTTATTGAAATGCCTAACATTTTAATGTGTTCTATTTCCTGACTGGTGCTAAAAATGCAAATTAATGTTTTGGGGATGAAACATCATTCTCCAGTACAGGGCGGTGTGCACATCTGTGATATTATATCCCAGCAATTCAAAATGGGATTGTTCAATTATTTTAAAGCTTGACATAAACTGATTTGTTATAACCCAGTAGCCGAAACTTGAATAGAAAAACATATTGCTGCAAATATTAGTGGACCAATATTTGGAATTTCCTAACTAGCACTTCAGCATAGTAACAGAGGACACTGCACTGTCTTTCAGATGAGATGTTAAAGCAAGGTTCTGAATACTTTGTCCTGAAAAACACATTACGTTTAGTAAGAGTAGGTAAGAATTATATGCAAAGATTCTTCATTTGTTCTTGATTCTTCCTGTGCTGGACAGTACAGGCATCTGTCAAATGATTGAAGTGTATGTGTATCCCACTTCAACACTGGGTTGTGCATGAAGACTGGGGGCAAGCTGTTGTCTTTTTTCATGACGGTTGGCAGAACTAGTAAACGTGCCCCAAACAAAATTTAAATACATTTTCGCCATCTTTTCAATCTGCTTAATCCTGCAGCATTTTAGTTCCTCTTAAAGCTCAAAAGCTAATGCATGTTTTATATCGGAAAAACAGAACATTTAAGAATGTAGTCAATCAAGCATATAGTGATTCATTTAAAGAAAACATATAAGTATGTTGTCTCACTGTAACAGAAAATGTGTACACTAATGTGCTAATAATGACCACATTCCCTCCTTGCTTGTGGGCAAGCAGGCTGACTAACTGAACTGTGATTCCATCTAGAGGCCAAAAGTAGTACAACAATACCTTATGCCTACATTCCTTTAGTTCTGTGGTTCCAAATCTTCGTTAGGAAGGGCTGATGTATGCAGAGGTTTTCAGTCCCAGAACAATAATCAACTCATGACTGATTCTGCTTAATGTAGTGAGGTAAACAGTCCTCTAGGGGCTTTATCATAGTCTGTCATTATTAGTCAGTACAGACATTCATCAATTCAGTGGTTGTTACTCAGTTTTCATCAATTGGCTTAGATAAAGCTTCAACAGTCCTGAAAAGCCTGCAGACACATCAGCCCTCCAGAACCAGGATTGGAGACCCCTGTCGTAATTGTGTTTTGTGCTTTTTCATTCTCTTCGATTCTGTATAGTTCTCCTAACTGTTTTAGTGCACAGTGTATAAAACCTTTAAAAAGTAAGAAAGACGTAGTTACGCTTGGAATGCTACTGTATATGCAAGCCCTTAGCCATTTACCTAAGTAATATACATAAATTAGGCATACAAAACTTTAAGATGGGAGAATACATGTTACACATCCGAATTGAACGCATTGTGAATTTAATGTGCATGATAATGTAAACAACGTGCTAGACTCCTGCTTAGCAAGAGGAATACAAAAAGTTGCAGGATACTTCTGGTCAAATGTTTTATTAAAAGCTGAGCCATTTTTGTAACAGAGGACAATTCCTCATGTCCGGAAATTGAACAGAAGTACAAAGCATTATATACAATTGGCAGAAAGCTTTAAAAGCACCCCGGTTTTTTTTTTTCTAACCAAGCCAGTTCCACTTGAGAGATTCCTTGAAACACTTTCCAATGTTCCAATGTGTTGTCCCAGGAGAAAGAAGCAAAGATTGCCTTACTGTCCCTCACAACTGATGTGCTGACTGATTTGTTTAAACATCTGGTACAGTAATGTTCATATATCAGGGTATCTTTTGCATTTCAAGTGATTTTAAAGGGATACTATACGGCACATGTATGGGTCTTTTCACACAATGATCTCTGGATTCCATGGTGTACTATGGTAATCATTCCCTAGTAACATTTATAATGGCAGATTTACTGAGGTGCTCTCTTGTAAGAGCTTTATTTTTTCCTAAGGGGACTCCCCCTCATATTTTAACCATTCCCTCTTGCCAGCAGTCATATCACCCAGCAACTCACAACTGGCAACTAATCAGGTGTGGGCCTGGTCAGTACTTGGATGGGAGACCTCCTGAGAAAAACTCAGGTTGCTGCTGGAAGAGATATTAGAGGGGCCAGAAGGGGGCGCTCACCCTGCAATCTGTGTGGGTCCTAATGCCTCAGTATAGTGAGGGGGACACTATACTGTAAAAAGGTGCCATCCTGTGGGTGAGATGTAAAACTGAGGTCGTCACTCACTGTGGTCATTAAAAATCGCAGGGTGTTTCTCGAAAAGAGTAGGGGTGTTACCCTGGTGTCCTGGCCAAATTTCCCACTGGCCTTTACCACTCATGGCCTCCTAATAATCCCCGTCTATGAATTGGCTTCATCTCTCTGTTCTCCTCCCCACTGATAGCTGGTGTGTGGGGAGTGTACTGGCGCACTATGGCCGCCGTTGCATCATCCAGGTTAGGGCTACAAACTAGTGGTGGTGGAGGGGAGTCCCCATTACCAGTAAAGCGCCTTGAGTGGAGTGTCCAGAAAAGCGCTATATAAGTGGAGGTAATTATTGTTATAAATTATTATTATTATTATTTTGTCAGTAGCCATATCTTTCATGTCACTAGTTGTTTCTCAGTTTCCATCATGTGATTTCTGAGGAATGTCCATCCATGAAGATGGCCCCTTATGTTGGTGTCGCACCAACTCAGAGCATATCCCAGCAGCATACTGTAGGGTGCAAGGCAGAATGGGGCACACCTGAATGCTCTCCCCTGGAATGTGATGCCAGTTCATTGCAGCCCCCCAGCGAAAAGGAGCGATTGGAAATAACCAATCAAAGCCTGACCAGCACTTGTTTGAGAAGTAGGAGAATACTGGCAAACTTTGCAGAAATCCAGCTGAACAAGAGGAGAACATACAAACTTTCAATCCAACCCAAGACCCTTAACCAACACTGACTGATACAAGGAGTCACCCCTAGTGAAAACTATATTTTGGTTCAAAACAGAGCTTGTAAATAAGATTATAAATATACTACAACTTCAAATGATGCCCCTGGCCTTCCTTCTGAACTGATACAGACCCAGTTAACCTGGTGTTCCTCCAGCCTCGGCTTTCTGTTTTGGCTGTGTTAGCCAGCACTGCCTGGTTCCCTTCGCCTCTGTGATTTCAGCTGCCATCCATCATCCAACGTGGATTTGAGCTGAGGGCTGACCTGTAGCCAGTGACACCTACTGTAGATTCAAATCACTTTTCATAACCTGACACATACAGTATAAACATTGCACAAACATCCATATTTAAAGACTGAAATATATTCCGCATTTTATGTTAGATATAATGCCTTGTGTGTATAACTTTGCATACCATTTCATTACAACAGGCCAGCTATTAATTCCTTCTAAATGAGAAAATAGATGAAAACACACCTGTCATATTTAATTTTTTTCAGGATTATCAAGACTTACTATGATTAGAGACATCTTACCAGAGAGCTATTAATTTAGGCTGCTTCAGGTTCTTTAATTTTATTCACTAGATGGCACTCCTGATTTGTTCCACAGTTACTACCATTCAACTATTTTTTTTCTTGTTTGAAGTCAAATATGGTGACTGCTCCATTCCTGTTCAGAATCAGATAACTGAACCACTAAGATTAAACTAATCCTAACTTAATATTTTTCTCAACCAAGTAATCTTTTGATACATGACTGCTTTAAAAAAAAAAAGTTCCTTCCTAATTTACTATAAAAGGAGCAAAATGGGCACGGTAACTTCCGTATAACAATAAAGTATCAATAACAGTAGATGTTATCATTTCTTAACCCATAAAATGTTTGAGGTCATTAAAAAAAGAGTAAACGTTCATCGCTAACACAGTACTGTAGCATACTGTGTTTCTTGCACAAAGTTAAAATTCTAATTACATTGGAAGTTAAAAAATATATTTTGATTTAATTTCCAATCCCAGTAGTGCAGTAATTTGTTTTGAAACCCTGCCACCTCCTCAGAAGACAAAATGGCAGGACAAAACCTCTTAAAACACTTTTATTGCCGACTAAGAAAAAAACAATTGTGAATCCTGCTGCGTTTGACACTGTTGAAATAACTGCAATGTGCACCCACCTAATATCATTACCTTGTAATCAATATAACATTTTTCACGTCTAGAATCTGAAACAGATCCAGCGAACACTTCTTAACAACTGCAAGTGCAGTCGGTGCATTCTGGAAAGCAAGCGGCTGAAGAAATTCAGATACAACAAAAAAGTCGATGATAACAAAGGCAACTAGTAGAAAGCTCAGTCTTCATTCCCCACTTTTACCAGCTGGAGCCATTCCTCTGACAGTGGAGTTGTAAATTGGATCTTGTCACAGCAGACGTACCAAGTTGTCCGCTTAAGTCAGCTGTGTGTATGAGGTCTAGTTTGACTGTAATCAAATCTCTCCAACACTGGATCTGGGCATTTTAAGATGGGTGCAGATTCTTCTTTTTAGAGAAGTCAGCTCTGCTCTGTGATGTTCCAGTGCTGGTCTGTTTCCACCCTGTGTGGAAAAGGAGGATGGATCGGCTGGTTTTGTCAGGTTCCTGCACCGCAGATCGATCTACCAGCCAGGCCCTAGCTGGATTCCCCGAGGGGTGGCGAAGGAGAATCTGTCCCAGGATCGTCCTGGTCTTCTGAGGGCAGGCGGACACGTTGCTCGTCCATCCGCTTGGCCTGGACCCTCTGAATCAGGCTGAAAAAGTCCTCGTCTGGGACAGTTGGTGCCCGGGGACCTGGATCCGGTGGAGAACACCTCTGATCGTCAATCCTGGAGGACTGCAAGAAGAGAGGTGCCGAGGCCAAGAGTGAAACCAAGAGTAAATACATTTGGGATAAAAAGGAGTGGAAGGAGAAGGTTCAGGGAGGGAGGCAGAGAAACAGAAACGAATAATCAAGGGATGAAGATTATGTGAATGCCGTATAAAGTACAACTATTCCTTGTGTATTTGGAAGCATCCTTTTAGAAATGTTATTATTTTTGCTTCAAAGGAACACGTAGTTTTGTTCAATGCTGCAAAGGGAAGAAACACTACATTTCGGCTGTGGAGCCTTCTTCGAAGCTTGGGTTCTGAAAGAGGTTTAAGCAGCTTCAGTCTGAAAAGAAAGAAGAATAGTTAAACGGGAAGCCTGGGAAGGAGAAGGTATGTTGGGCCCTTACCTGGCACTTCATTAGCATGTTGAAGAAGTCGTCACTGGGCTCCTGGGGGTCTGAATCCCCACATAGGTGTCCCAGGTTGTTCTGGGTGATCCTCAGCCCTGGCAGGTTGCTAACATTGGCACGCTGGTCATCAAGACGCCTGCTCTGTGAACTGGCGATAAGGTCAAAGAATTCCTCTGTCTGTGGTGAAGTCATGAGTGAGGACGGGTCTGCAGGTGGTACAAAATGACAGCATGCTTCCACATTCCAGACACAAAGTACACAGCCACTTCGAAGGCAACGTCAACAAGAAAAAAACAATGATGACATTCGGTTTCAAGCCATGGACACTAACAACAAAAGTAGTACGGTGCTGATTAAAGAACTCTAACAGACCTTACTCATAGAGATCACATGAAGTTGAGTGAGGTACCATGAAACACAGTCCCGCATTTACAGATGTTACCATTCAGAATGTGCGGTAAAAGCCTGTAACAGATTGGGGCTGCACGTTACCACGGCACGTGTTTCACTGGCCAAAGACGATTGACAGGTGGCACTTGTGATGCATTTGATGCTAGTGAAACGATTGCTTAATTTAATCTGTCTACTGTGCATGTTTAAATCTGCTTAATATGGAATATTAATATGGAATTTTACAACTAAAGGGAACTTTTGGCAGCAGAGCATAAAAATAACAGGAGCAGAACGTCTCTGAACACCATAAACAATATTAATTTAGGAATATAAATATATTATACATACTGTATATGGCTTGTAGTGGTACTTAAAAAAATACACAACAGTATTCCACCTTCTTCGCAAACATTTTATGCATCAAGGTCTTTAATTCGATCATGTATTTATTTTGGAAAGGTTTTGATGTGCTCGTTCTGACATTAAGTTGATATACTTTTTAAAAAGCTATATATGTTTTAACATTTTCTATGCATACTTGCTGTTGTTCTTTCTTTAAATAGATGTGTACTTTTTAGAATATGCTTAATGGGGATTATGTGTACTGGTAACTGTAAAACATTTTTAAACTTTTTTCCTATTAGTCTCTCTGACATTTTATTAATTAATTTAATTTAATTAACAAAAACAGAAACATAACAAAAAGGGTTCAAACAATTCTTTATGCCAAATACAAGTGATTACCATCAATTAAGTACTGTAAATGAAAGTTGTCTGTGTCGATCAACTTCATGTAAAGTCTGTAAAGGTAAGATTTCTTCAGGTTATGTTAGATATTATACAGTATACCTGATAGAAACATGCTTCTGTAAGGATGCTATGACGTTAAGAAACAAGAGTAGGAGATTCAAAGTGTTTTTTAGTGCCTAGAACATTTTCTGTGGTTCTGAATATACATTGTAAAACTGAAGTGACCTTCTGTGTCATCACGTTAAGAGAAAGAATGTCACACATCTGGACGAAAGAAACAGAAAGGGGCAACAGTTGAAGAGGTGACTGACCGATTCGGTCATCCAGTGGAGATTCGGGACCAGAGCTTGCTCCTTCAATGCCATTCTGCTGGTCATCTAGCTGGCAGCGCTGGTCGTCCATTCTGCTGCTCTGGAACTTGCTGAGCAGGTCGAAAAAGCAGTCTTCATCAGAGGGGTCGCGGCCTATCTTCTGAAACAGAAAAAAAACAGATGTTTTCACCTGCTGACTCAGAGACGCACAGAGTTAGACCCTGGAAGGTTTGATTGGGTCCTGCTATGGTCCTGGCTTCCGGACGCAAGAGGTCGTCCCGTTCACTCAAAGAGGGAAGGCGTAGACCACGCAGTAGTACTTAACCAATCAGATCTCTTACTCGCACTCACACCTCCACCACTTAGTATACTTTAGCACAGTTTACCCTAACCACCTCGCTCAGTATTGGTTCAACCCTAGTGAGCTACCCTTCCAGTTTGCACCTCCCTTTCATCTAGAGTATTTTTCTGGCTTCGGATTGAGTTTACTTTTGGATTACGATTTCTGGATTTCGGCTTGGACTTGACTAAATCACTTCCTTGGCTTCTTTGATTTCTGTTTTTTTCTTTTGACTACGTTTTCGGATTCATACTTTTGATTCCTCTCCCACATAGGGTCTTTATCACCACCTCTCTCTCGACTACCAAAGCCGACTCTGTAACAGCTGAACCAGCTTGTATTGTCAGCAAAGGAACCATTAATTCCATGTTGAAAAGTTGAAAAAAAAACACAGCATGCATGTCATATTTTGAGCCATCTTCAGGTGTAATACTTTTTCCTCTGAGCTTAACAGTTATCTGTTATACAATACTGAGGTGCTTAATGATATTAATTAAAGTAATTAAATGTCACACTATAAAATATATTTCTTTACACAGTTTCAGAAAAAGATTACATGTACTTAATTTCCCCTAAGTAATAGGTTATATTAAAGAGTTTCTCATACCTTACTTGAAGAAGCAGAAATGTCAAAGCAATAACCTTTCTGTCCTCTCTATAACCTCTCTACAACTGTCCGAAGCAACTCATAGTCCAGCATAAATCTCGTAGAACAGTCCAGTCAGTTACAGGTGGAAATGAACTGATAACTACTTTGTTGGGGGTCACATTATCCCATAACATAAGAATCTGCTGCACATGCTCCATTTCTTTTTACATCCACAGTATAAAATATTAATTTGAGAGTTAATATGGTCACTCACTGTACTTATTTATTATGTGAACTCAGTGGTCCATGAAAGTATATAAAATTGAACAATATTTTATGATCAGCTCTTTTTCCAGGTAAATGCTCTTTCAAAAGGGGCCCACTATTATGAAGACAGATTTGTGTTGAGAACTATGCTTTTCTTTACATTTGTAAGTTAATTAACAACAGGATTTTGCATTCTACATTTTTTTAAAACTTTATTTTTCACTACTTTAGGGGACTCGTATGTCATATACTCACAAACTGTTGTACCAGCAGTTACAAGACATTAGATGAATGTATAATGTACTACTGAAATAGAAGGGTATCATTGACTCCTAATGAGGGTCCATTAGATTCCATGGAGCCTAATTTATGTGACTTTCTAAAAGAGAATTTTGCTTAAAAGAATCATGCGTCAGTACTGATTGTAGAAAATAAAATGTACCTAGTTTCATGTTTTTAAAGATTGACATGTTTATTAGAATTTGCCTCCTATTGATTTATACTTGCCCTAACCAGCATGGTCATTGATCAGACATGGAAGTTTCCAGCAGCCTGACTCCCTCTCTCACATGTCCTAGACCCGTATCCTGGCTGTCAGATCTCCTATAGACACAGATGAAGGTCAGAGTGACCACTGATAGCCTTGGTTTTTTATGAGAGTTGTCACTTTTATATATGGGACCAAAGCCTCCCACACCTGATCACAGCAGTGTAAAGCTGCTTTTGCAGTTATCGCCTCTACTATTTCAGTTCCAGGAGCATTGTGGATGACGCATTCAATCAATCAGACTTTATATTCATTAATTAGGATTGTGCAGAGTTTGTCTAAAGTTCCATGACCAGGAAACACATTCCCAAGAAAGACTATAAAACATTACATTATGCCAATTGTAAAATAAACGCATACAGTACATTTGCAAATAGAGATTTTCTCCTAAGAGATTCAGAGTCACCATTTCAGTGCATCTCAACAGCATTCTCGGATGCTCTGTGTTATATTTCCAGATTATTACATTATGTTTCTTAAATGGGTCCTGTATTCAGTTTAAGTAGGTAGCTGTGTAAAGGATTATTCCATGCTGAAAGGTAAAGAACAGAAGAATTTTGGCTATGGAGCCTTCTTCAGATGTCAATGTCTTCTTTGCTGAAGGCTGAATGATTGATGGCTGTTAGAGCTATACAATGTTTGGTAAACCAAAGGTTAGAAATCCAGGTAGATGCTGTCTAAGAGGAGAGCAGGCAGGGTTCATAGCAGGGAGACGATGCATTGATCAAATCTTCACTTTCAGAAGGATCCTATATATTCAAAAACTTAATGATATCAAGGAAGCTCAAGAGGTATCTACTGTATATAGATTAACAGCACAGTTGGACCTGCTCTGCTGTACAGTGTAGTGCCCTCAGCCACAACAAAGATAAGTTGCCAGACTGGATCTCTTTACCTCTTGCTGTCTCCTCTACGTCTTACAAAATCAACAACAGCGCTGTATGCCAGAACACAATCCAGACACCTGGCAGCAAAATTTAGCAGAAGAACAGAGTTAAATAATTTGGTCACATTTTGAGAATGGACAACTGCTGAAATGTCAAACAATGTCAAGCGTCAACATGACACCGACTCAAACCTCAAGATAACACAATGCAATCCAGGAACTACCTGAGTGCAAGTCATCAACAAAAACCTACAGCAGGTAACTTACGACTAGATGCACCAAGTGGCCCAAGACAGAGCTGTGTGGCAGGGCAAGGTGTCTGCCTTATGTGAATCAAGCATCAGTAGATATACTGTAGGTAAGTGTAGACTTTTATACCAACATTTTCAGTTTTTAACTGGTCCTGAAAAATTACAATCCAGCTCATAAAACATCCATTAAAAGTTGAATGTATTCTGAAAATTTTTATTAACTGGTACTCATTGTATCCTACTGTATATATGATTCATTTTGTCCTGGCGTACTAAAAGCTAAAAAGTCCTTTGTATCCAAAGTCCCACTGAAATTCATGCTGATTAGCGGACTTCATAATTTAAGAGGCTGTATCTCTTCAGGTTTGTGTCAGACACCACCTTTGTTTAGGAAGGTCGCAAGAATCTGCACAAACACTCACAAAGGTCACATTTTAAGGTGCAGAACCTTTTATTTCAGATTCCTTTTCCTCTACCCTTTCAAAACTCTGCACACTAAAAATTATTTGATGGTAACAATCAGTGTTCGAGAGATGAGCCAAAACTAGAACCTTTTTGGCCGACAGGGAACCTGTTATGTCTGGCAAAAACCAAACACTACATTCCACAGTAAGACTCTCATACCAATGGGGGTGGTGGTAGTGTCGTGGTTTGGGGATGCTTTGCTACATCAGGACCTGGATGACTCGATGGCCCCTGCTCTGGATCAGAGAATTATATAGGAGAAGCTGTTGAGCTGTCTGTGAGCTGAGGTTGAAGCAGAGCTGTGTCAATGATGCAAAACGCACAAGCGAGTCTACGTTAGAATGGTTGAAGATCAAGAAATTTGGAGGTTGGGAATGGCTTAGTCAAAGTCCTGACCTAAACCTAAGCTGTGTAGCAGGACCTGAAAGGAGCATCTCATGCTCGGAAAGCCACAAATATAACTGAGTTGAAGCAGGTCTGCATGGGGGAGTGCACCAAAACTCCTCTACAGCGCTGTGAGAGACTAATCAATAATTACAGGAAAAGTCTGGTAATAGTTATTGCTGCTACAGGTGGTATTACAGTACCTGTTATTGAGTTTAAGGAGGCAATTCCTTTTTCAGACAGGGCATTAAGTGTTGCATAACTTTAATAAACACATGAAATAAGTTTCAAAATATTATTTCTTCACTCATCTAATATTAAGCTTTGGTTGAAGATCTGATAACATTCACTGTGGAAAAAATATGCTGGAAATCAGATGGGGGCAAATACTTTTTTCACAGCACTGTACAGTATGTATGTGTGTCAGTTTTGGTTATATTTATTACTATTAACTACAGTATATGTTTTTCTTCTTTATCTACATGTGTGATCAGCCAACAATAAACCTTGTGATGATGATGTGGGACTGGGGTATCAGGCTACCTTGGGTATCTTGAGTAGCCCTGACTCTGTTATCAGAATAAAACTATAAAAAGGCTGTTTTTGTTTTCAAATTACCTAAATAGTAATTAGATTTGTAGTTTTTTCAAATTACCTAAACACTAGTCTGCATGTTTATGTGTTGGTTTGTTATTAATTGCTGTAAATAAAAACATATTTCATTTTAAGTTTGTCCTCAATCATTACACTCCTGTCAAATTATGCCAGTGAGCAAAAAAACACATGATACAAATGGTTGATTTTCATTTATGACTATAGGGGATGTTTTATCTGCATTTTATCCACGGTGTCAGGATTTTAAAAATATTTTTATATTTGCATTTACACGACAGCCTCCAATTTATTGCAGCATTAATGTGAGATATATTTTAAACTCTTAAAACACCATCCATACCTAGTTTAAAATAATATAACTTTTTAAAACTTTAAAACTTTATCAAACAAATTAAAATGTACTTGTCAATTTTGTTAATATTTTGTTTATTGACATTTGCTCTATTTTGCCATTTTAATTCAAATCAAGATTATAGATAATTAAAAAGGATTCCTAGACATAAAATTGTCATACTACACGTTAATACTTGTAAATTGAGATAATGTTGTAGCAGTATAAACTATATGAAATAATGATTATATAAATAATTTAAGAAGAAATTAAGAAGAGAACTTGTAACTTTATCTGATTCTGGATTTCCTTTGTACATAAATTGTAATGTAATAATTTAATTTGGATGATAATCTGGAAACCATGTGAATCAAAGCTAAAGAAGCAAGAAACCGACTGTATGGGTATTTGACATTTGCACAAAATATGTAGGTCATGGAGCATAATTGAATTAACACAAACACAAAAACTTATGCACTCTC